TAGGCGGTTTTAAATAGGTCTTGACAGTTACTGAAAGTGGAAAAGAAACATTTCAAAGACGTAAAAAGTCGTTTCAAACGTAAAAATTTTGCGTTCGGAGTGAAAAAAAAAAGCAAATATTTAATAATACATGTCTAGGACTAATTATTATTACGTTAAATATAAAATTAGACTTGCAACAAAAGACTTTTCCATCCCAGTTTATGTCACATATAAGCATTTAATTAGTGCAATAAAAGCCGGTTAATTTACCGTTACTTCGATTTCATAATAAAAGGAATCAAGCGGTTCTCCATGTAAACTTTTCAACTTTGTGTTAAATGAGTTTGGGAAATTTAAGCTGTGTTGTAAAAATATTGAATAGTGTAGTAAGAATTTCCTAACGTAAATGCCATAAGTGAGAATATTTAAATTATAAATTAAAAATAATTTGAATTATTAGATAATTTAAAAGGCGAATAATTGCGTTTATGCACCAAAATTAATTTACGTTTGAATACAATACAAACGACACTGGGAACTGCAAGTCTGAAAAATCGGAAAATCGTCAAAATTTTAAATCAGCTTAAATCTTATATGATCGTACACAGAACTCTTTCGTATATGATCAAAATATCTTTTAATTTTGTTTTGAAAGAGGATTTATCCTAATCATGCAACTGTTGCTCAGAAATTGTTTAAATATTCTTGACAGGATATACGAATAGAATAGAATTTAGTTTTAAACAGTGATTATGCCTTAAGTAACGAAGAGGTGCTCAATTCTTTGACTCGAAGGTTACTTAGTTAATAAACAGCTTGCTTTCATCTTTTTAATTTAATTTTACAAGTCACAATTCATGATGTTTGCATAGTCCATGATTCTTCGACAAAGAAACCTGTTTCAGCCGTTTGTTAAGAGGCCCACCAGCGGCCGAGCGGTAAAGTCGCTGAACACTGGTAGTTCGGTCGAGATTCGAATCCCGCGAACGGGCTGGATTCAAGGGTTTTCCGTGGTTTTCCCATGGTAACGGCACGAGCGTTTCCCTTAGAACTTCCCACGAGGCTCACCCCTTAGGCAGATAGCCCTAATGTGCTTTGCGATAATTAAATGCACCACACCACCGTTTATTAAGAATAAATTACAGCTGTTTTGCCAAGAAAAGTTCACATTTATGTTTGAAAATTATTCTGAAAGAAATTAGTTACATGAAAATTGGTATAACTACTTTTTATTTTTTCCAGTAACGAATGAATAACTCTAATTTATAAAACCATAATTTGCAGATATTTTTTCATGTTTAACAAAAATTTCTTGAAATGATTTCTGATTTAAAATTGACAAAAGATAAATTGTAAAATAAAGACAAAGTCATAAATTTTTAAACATTCATTTTGAAGTGATCTAAGCCATTAGAATGCATACCATTTATAAGAGGTGTGCTTTAGTTCGGGGAAAATATATTTTTATAATAAAACGTCAGAATTTAGATAAACATTTATAAATATGACACTTTCATCATTAAAAAATAATTTTCCTTTGCCTTACTAAAAATTAAATATTATCACTAGGAAACTGAAACAGTTAAAAAAAATAAAATATCATCCCAGAACAGAAATAAAACAAATATCACAAACAATATAATCAGCCCAGCCGCCCAGACGATATAGTGGTTAGGGAAGCCTGACTTCGGTTCGAATCCCAGAGAAGGCATGGTTGTAACTGTCGATCCCTTCATAAGAGGCAATGGTGGCCCACCTATTAGGTGCCTCCATAATAAAGAGACCGCCACATCTGCCCTAGTATAGATTAATGAACTCTGTTACAAAACTGTAGCTGTTCAAAATCTGCCATTGGAATAAAATGTAATCACAAAAATTTCGTAATTAAAACGAATAAATTCCCTAATAAATGACCATTAACGTTCAGAGAATTGTGTAATATATACGATAGGAGAACTCACTTCAATAATTTTGCGCACTAAAAATAATCATTCAGGAGATAATGAACTCTATCATTAATTATTTCTAGGCTAATATTAACCGAAACAATTTGTTTCGAAATGAGACAATTTTTCACAAACCCGGCTCGTTTCTTTGTTTGTGTTGAAGAACTACCGTGCTTCCTTCAGAACAAAACTGATGTTTTATGCCTCAGGTATAAAGTTTTATTAGTAAACTAATTAAATTATTAAACACAATATCGAGTAAATAAGAGATTTCTATTATTTTAGCTGTAACAGTGAACGGTGCACTCACTATCAACAAAATGAAAAAGCAGACTGGATTATAGATCACTGAGGTTTCAACGCTTCTTCTGGAATTGAAGATGTGAACTAATTTAATTAAGCAATTTCAGAGATATACTGCATGGATGCTATGATATATTAGTCGGCAAACGCAAAGGTATATCAACAGAAAATAAATGTTAGGGGCCAGTGGAAAATTGCGCCATTCAAGAACAAATTAACATGCCTTTATCAATAACGAGTGATACAAAGTAATATTCTTTTTTGGAAACTGTTAACGATGTTTCTGGAAACTGTTAAGTATAGCTAAATATATACTAACTTGAAGAACGCAAGAAGGTTTTTAAAATCCTGATATTTAAATAAAAATACCATTTCCACCAATATAAATTAAACTTTGAAATTAGAGTATAGAATGCAATGATTATTGGTTCGTGGAAAACAATTTAATTAATTAAATTTTTTAATTTTAATTAATTTTTTAAACTTAATTTTTTTTCCTAAAAATCAAACTATTTTCATTGAGAAAGTGACATTTCTTAAGATACTGACATAAAAGAAAATAATTCGATATGTTTAAATATATTATAGCAATAAAAATAAGTATATAATGATAACATTTATCTTAATAATAGTATTTTATGATTATTATACTTTTCTTATTTTATTATGACAGCATTTTCGAGAATTAAACCATACTTAACCATAATTAGCTGTTTTCTAATCGTAATATACATTTATAAAGTATTTCATCACTAGTTAAGATGCCTGAAAGTGATAATTTCATCAATAAAATATACTCTATAAAACTTCAAAGAATGAAAATTAAATTTTTGTTCAACTTTCCTAAAACCACTTCGTTTCATTTAATAGATTTTCAAAAGCGAGGCTAAAAAGGTTCTCTGCTCTATTTCATTGTGAATATTATTTTGAAGTGCGGCTTTCATTGCTTAAACAAAGGTAAACAAACTACCATCATATAATACACTGAGATAAACAATAAACGAAATTTTTGTACTCAAATTCACCATGTATTGAATTTATTTAGGCAGAAAGTCTCAGATAAAATTTCATTATGCAGCAGGTTTCTAAAATACCTGGCAAAAATGTAAATGCCGAAAAGGCCTTTACTTTTGAAGGAACAGAAATAAGTAGATAATACCGAAATAATGTGAGAAAAGGGAACGTTGAGATTGTAGAGGTTGCTGTAAGATCCGTAGGTGAAAGCAGTCCGCTGGCGTAAATCATCGTTCCCCGGGCAGTTTCGAGTGGATACATCGCTACATGAACGTGGAACTTGCGGACGTATTTTATCTTTGAGGCTGTCAACAGAAGCAGAGCAGTTGTTTAAAAGCTATACAGAGCATTTCGTGCATTCTCGTGTAAACAGCTGTCAAATCGCGCAACGTTCCCAGGTATTAACTACCACAGCGAATCTTGTATTAACGTTGTCATTTGCACCTTCAAGCACCTACTGAAAAAAAATGATAAATTAAAACAGTGTGTCGCTCATCTATTCCCTTCTTACGCCTCAGCCCATGCATGTGCTATTCCTGACACACATTATATTACAAAATCAGTGTATTTCGATTTTCACCTGCTACCTTTCAGTTTCTACCACCGGATATTTTGGAATCATCGTCAATATATGAAGGAAATATATATATATAAACACTTATGAATTAAACTATATTTATTCGCGAACACATTGTGGCAAATTGTATAGAAGTTGGAGTTTCAGTTATTTTATCGAGAGTGATCCGCTGGAAAGTAACATTTTGAGAACAAAATATGTGCATACTGATTCAGAAGTCAAACAACAAAAATCAGCGTTAATTCACAAAATTTTCACAGGACTAGTTCGATGGTTTTAACCGAACCATCATCTCAGCTGCAAAACCGCAAATGAACAAGATAGGAAATGTTTAGATAAGATAAGAAAGCCTGGACAGAATAAGCAGTGGCGCCATCGTTGGCGAAACCAGAACTAAAACATAATTTCTCTAAAAGCCGAAGGCAAATTTGGATTGGAATTCTTGTCCGGGCTTTCTTATCTTATCTAAACATTATTTCCTATCTTGTTCATTTGCGGTTTTGCAGCTGAAGATGATGGTTCGGTAAAACCATCGAAACTAGTCCTGTGAAAATTTTGTGAATTAACGCTGATTTTTGTTGTTTGACTTCTGAATCAGTATTTATTCGGCGTGTTATTGTGTCTTAATTTAAAATATGTGCATATTGTGAAATGGAAGTTAATGGCAGACTAAGTAGTAGCCCTGAATTCAGTACTCAATGGCGCTGATACAATCGATCTGTTTTAAATAAACAACATGTTGTAACTTCTAAACCAGCAACATGTATGTTTCCTTGTAACCGGGGTGCTTATGGTTTTACATTCTTCCATAAAGGTTCAAATAACTTAGCAATAAAACATAAGTGTTAACACTATCAATAACTGGTTCCTTTAACAAGAACATTCTGCAAAAGATTCTTTTCCCTTCGTCAGGCAGATGTGAAGTTTAACAAAAATCATGTATGTACGCTTTTATGCGATGGGTTGATTTTCGTTTTTAAGTAGTGTATTGTATATGTCATTACAGGTAAGAAACTCTAAAATGGTACTTGACGCAATGTTAAAATGAGTTATTTAATGTTTTGAGATAAGAGTCGGTCTAAACCCTACCTACGTTCAAAGTTATTGGAGAATGCTAAAAAAGACCATTTCAGAGACTATGTAATATTGAAAAGCAATATTAATTCGCACGCACTTACCACAGCGTCCTGTGAACCTGACTTCCAGTGGTCGCATTTCTCTGCATGATGTTTTTTTCAGTTCACACAGATTTGGATAGTCCTTGCCATCTGTTCCACACACAGGTCTTGAACTCCGAGTGTTTCCATACATGGGGCACTTTTCGGGACAAACACATTCTGAAGTCACACCATCTAAAGACGGTTTGCATTGAGCACCAAATCTGCAATCTGTATCCTCACATGGATCTTTGACATCTGAAAGAACGTAACGTAGTAATGAATATTTAATGAAAAATTGAGAATGCATCAATAAATAATACTACATACTTTACGCTAATTTAAGTTACTGTCTCTCTTATAGTATAAGGATATGTTTGTGTAGAGAATTTTCGCCTTTAATCATTTAAAATATCCCCACTGTTAAAATCAAAATTAGTAAAACATGTACTATAAAAATTAGATACACACACACACACACACAAAAAAAAAAAAAAAAAAAAAAGATAAAAACTTCAGATTACACTCTAACCTTTTGTAGTTTCAAGGTCTCCAACCATTCAAGTTTCGGATTCGAAACATTATATTTTAAAATTTAAAATAGCAGTTATATGTTTAAACGAAATTTAAATCTGCTCTTAGTATACAGATTTAACACTAGAAATTTCAATTTAGAAACACTGTTAAACTAAGCATTTACGATTGGCCTATTAGCTTAAGATTTTATCCTCCCCCAGAAGTTAAAAGTATAGAATATGAAATATTATATTAAAGGTAAATTTTTTGAAAAGACAAAGGCAAATGGTAGAAAACAGTGTTATGATTTCATATCATCATATTATCGCCATGTGGGAAAGTATGCACTTATTAACAATAGAAAAGCTTAGTTGTTCAAAATTTAGCTGAGCATTTATTTCACTGGATTACTTAGACACAAGACTTCCAACAAATATTTCATACATGTGGCTATTTCATGCATCTACGAGTATCTTATTTAGCGCGCCATAAACTGAATGTCTTGAAGTCCACAAACTGAAAAAAATTTCGAAGTGGTTTCCTTCAACGTATTTAATAACACATAAATAAAACTCTAACAATAAAAGGTAATAATAAGACAGCGTTTTATCAAATAAAATATCAAATGATGACAGAGGATTCTAAGACATCAAAAGGAAATACTCATGTCATTTCACGGGAAATTATTTCCCGATTAATGGTCTCAAAATAATCTTAATATTTTATTTTACGAATATAATGGAATCTACCTCTGTTACGTGACTTTTTACGGCACCAAAATGTTATGTGCTTATTAAGTTGACACAGTAACACACAAAATTTTAATATCAAACCGACCCATAACCTATTCCATACATTGCGTTGTGTAATCGGATTAACCCTTAATTCAATTTTTGGTGACCTTCTGAAATGACATGAGTAAATAAAAAAAAACATACACTTAAATAGTTCAATGAAAACAAATTTGTTTATTGGAAAAGAACATCCATCAATTTAAAGTATCATAAGATAGAACACCAATATAAGAAAATAGATATTATAGCTATTAAAGATATTCCCGGGATAGCTACACAACACCTCTCGAAATAAATCCTCGATGAGTATCTGATGAAGTTGGTAAATTGTAATAGAAGAATCAAAAAAGATTTCAAACCAGTAAACGTTTTAAATATTGAATTGCAATCTCAGAAAAATAAATATACCTTTACGCTGAAAGGGATTCATTATTTTTTACACTAGAGATTTATCCAAAAGAAGTAGAATGCTAGTGTAGAAGTAGCACCTGTGACAGTACAGTAATTTATCCAAAAGAAGTAGAATGATAGGGCAGAATTAGCACCTGTGACAGAATAATAATATATCCAAAAGAATTAGAATGATAGTGCAGAAGTAGCACCTGTGACAGTGCAATCATAAGCTGATGATTGTGTAAAATATATCACAAGTAACAATTAGTAAAAACAGCAGTAACTACGAATATTTGTGTCCCGGATTCGTTATCTTGTTGATATCAACAGTTTATTTAAATGACCACAAGCAAAAATCTTTTTATCTCCTAAACACATACGAATTCCCTCCTTTCCTAGGGCTTTACATTTAAAGAATAGATATATTCAATAGAAGTGGGTTACATCAAGCGCGTTTTCTTTCAATTCGGATTTTACTTTTCAAATTTCCGATCATCCGCCTTTTTTCCCGTTCTTTTCTTATAATGTATTTGAATCGCTTTTCCAAGAAATAAAGTTCGAGAATGGACTCAACGGGACGTATAAAATACATTTCTTTATAGCGGTATGGAAATACTTGCTGCCTATAAATCAAATTTTTTTTCGTCAGCATGGCGATTGGGGCACGGGTTATAGGCGTTGCAAATGCAGTCAGAAAGCTACGCTGCACTCCTCATCCATTTGGACCGTACGTCATTTTGGACATGCACATTATTTCACATGAGATAGGTACATCCATACCGAAAAAGGGCAGAATTTTTTCAAGATGTAATGCAAGGAAATGCATTTCCTTTGACACATAGCCACGAAGGATTCGTTACATCTGAAAGTACATGACAGTGCGAGACTGATAAGTGCAATAAATATCAAAGATGTTTGCAGATTGATTTCATCATACATAGAAAGTAAAAAATGCGTAGCTCATCCACACACAGAGAAAAAAAGAATAAAAAAGATAAAAATGTAGGAAATAGAATGGGAAGTGCAAGATTAACGATTCTCAACGTTTTGGAGGCATTTCCTCCTTGTTTCAACATGTTTTTAATAACATCTGCTAAACTTTTTATTTATCATTTACACTTTCTTTGAAAAATGATTTTATAGAAGTAAGTAATATAGTTTAAATTTCTTTGCTTAAAAAATTATACGGTAAGATAATAGTGAACACAATACAGTATACTTTTATTAGTAACAATAGTGAAAATGAACAGAACTGGTAAAAATTAATTTAAAGAAGTTAAAAGTTTGTAAAGACATTAGGATATTTTTGGAAGCAGGCAAAATGAAAAATATACAACCGTCTTCGCGGGGAATCGAACCACGGACCTCTGGAATACCGGCCCAGCGTGCTACCGTTACACCACGAAGGCACGCTAAGGAAGTGGGAGAAATACCTTAGAAGTTTGGTAAAAAATTTATATATCTTCAGTAACAGGGCTAAGGTTTATTATTAAATGTCTTAAATTTTTCCAGTTAACAATTTACACTTTTGCTAGTAACAAGAGTGAAACTAACATTTTAATGTTTAATCAATAGAATTGCTAAGTTGGCTAATCTTTGGAATATGGTAACAGGCAGTTTGACGACATTTTGGTGGCGATAAACGTTACTACCTAGGACTTTGGCAATAATGTGAGAAGTACCCACTTCCAATTACGCATTATTTTGGTTGAGAGAAATGAGAGATCATGAGATATGTCATGTGACATTTTATGGACGAATCACAGTTCTTTAATCGGAAAAGGGGGGACATTTGGAAAAATATCTGCAGTACTTTATAGTATTTTGTTTTTAGCTTCATTGTGTGTTTTGTGAAAAAGTGTTGCTGAATTTTTGGATCCCATGGCCCTATCTAAAGTGAATTCGAAAATTTTATTGTGTTTAGCACTTTGTATTTAGCTTCATTGTGTGTTGTGTGGGAATGAAATGAGATTGTGTGAAAGGAAGGATATTACAGATAAGTTTGAATGGCGGTGCAAGAAATCTGGTGAAAATAGGCATTTTGTGATCCGCCATGCATTCAAGATTCTATAGAAGATTAGGTGAGTTAGTATTTTTAATCATTTGAGGATATTATTTTTATGCATTGTTCTAAATGTAAGGAATAAATAAATTAATATGCTATTATTGGAAAATTTTTATTAGCAATGAATTAGTTTAAAGTAATTAAGATTTTAAGTTAATTTTTATGAATTTTAATGTATGTGTTTATTTTTATATTAAGTAGCGTTTTTTAATTTAATTATATTTTAATTAAATGTTAGTTATTTTTGGAATTATATGTTTGTAGCATTTTGGAATACGTTTCAGTAGAAGTAAACGCGCATGGAAATAATTTAAATATTGACACTAAGTATTTGCAAACCATTTTAATGTTTGCGTTATAAATTCGCAGGTGACGTTCATAATAGATAATTTAGAGGGAAAAGTTTTTGGATATTTTATTTATTTTATACGTGCAAATGTTCATCCTTGGAAAGGGTATATACTTTTTCGCGATCAGGTAATTTCATATATGTCCTTTTTACCGACTTAAAAGATTCGCAAAATTTTTCTGCATTTTCGTGCAAATTTTTCTAATTTATGAGAAAAAAGCAGTGTAAATGGATAAAGTTAAGAGTGTGCGCAATGCCATTTTTGTGCAATTCTGGGATGTTTTGTTAACTAAAAATAGGTCGACGTGTACATGGTTACCGTGTATGTGCCATTCTGAAAAACGCGGCAAGGAGTTTGCGATTCTGCACTTTCTCCCAATTTTGCAGTTAATATTCGTCATGATTAAGCACTTTTGATCCAAAAAATTTCTAGCATAAGCGTAATTTGGCTAGCAGATTGTTGGAAAATATGTTCAGGAAGTAAAAAGAAAAGAAACCTGTTTTTACTTCGTGAAAGACAAAATGGCCGCAAAAAAAAAAAAAAAAAAAGAAAAGAAAAAAGAAGAAGTAGAAGGTTGCTGTAGCAGGGTTGGTTGCCAAATTTTCGCCAAAAATCGCCAAGTTACCATATTTCAAAGATTAACCGCTAAGTTTAGTAGAAAGTTAATATACACTCAAGAGCCAAAACATTATGACCACCTGTCAATAACGAGTTGGGCCACCTTTGGCGCGCAGCACAGCTTCAACCCGCCTTGGCATGGATGCCACAAGTCCTTGATAGATGGCCGGAGACAGATTGTACCAGATGTTGTAGCAACGGTCACGCAAATCCGAGATACTGCGAATTGGTGGTCTTTTACCTCTGAGCTGCCGTCCCATGACATCCCAAATGTGTTCTATCGGATTGAGATCCGGTGAGTTAGGCGGCCAGGACATTAACTGGAAATCAACATCATGTTCCTGGAACCACTCCAACACAATTGTAGCCTTGTGACACGGGGCGTTGTCCTGTTGGAACATTCCAATTCCAGCTGTAAAAACAGAGGCCATGTAAAAATGCAACTGGTCCGCAATGATGTTCCAGATACACTGTAGCATTCATGGTACTGCTCTACCACAACCATGAGTCCCAGAGACGACC